TCTGAGGACAATTCTGATCAAAAAAGGGGGTGAAACAAACTATTCCCTGTCACCAAGACCAACTTGGCAATGTATCTTACCTCCAGACTCCCTATTTTCAAAGTTTAAATTCAGGAAAAATATGGGGATTCATAAGTGAATACAAATGTTGAGGGCTCAGGACCCACCATCATCTCAGTTTATGGCCCAAAACTATACCCTAATCTGGAGTTGGAACAAAGAATAATATGAAGCATGGAAGAGGGAGAAAAAACTCTTTAGTAACATCCTGGGCTGAACTAATTAATCTCTAACATGGTTCTTTGGTCACCATTGTTTGCTCTGTACGTTTTTGCATCTCACCACATCTCATCCTTCCCTCCATCTCTGTCTCTTAGCCATAATGAGTCATTTTTCCCCATTCTGATCTGACTCTTTCCATTTCCTCTAATCCATTTATATTTTCCTCACTATTATTTTTCAAATATATATATAAAATGCTGATCTCTTTATGTGACCCACCCTGGAGTTTCTGTCCATGAGTAGCTTTCTTCTTTATCTGTTTTCCATTTTCAAGCTTTGTGCTGGCTCTGCTTTGATGGATGGGGTCTGATGTTTTGCATGACAGTGTGGGGTGAAGAGTTAGAGAGAGAATGCTGTGGAGCCCAAAGGCTTTGGTCTTAGTCTTAAACTGACACTGACTGCTCTCTGCAAATCTCTGCCTCTCAGCTTAACCCAAAGTTCAAAACACAGGGAAGGCCAACTTGACTTTCATAACTTATGAGATATTATAAAATCAATGAACAAAAGATGTTAAATCAAAAACAAAAAAAAATTATCAGGGATTATAAGAGTCAACAGGCAAATATTTATTTTTGAATTGTGAAAAGCTGCTAGCAATAAAGTTATTTGGGGAAATCCAGAGAGACTTCTCAGAGGAGATGACATTTTAACCAGTACCCACTCCATAGGTAAAAATGGAGTTTTGGTTGCAGCATAGGAAAGGGTGTTCAGCTGCTGTCATCTGTGCAAAAAATCAGAGAATGAGGTGGTCGGGGTGTACTAATGAGGAGCAGCAAGTGTCGGACCTGGCTGGGCCATTGATTACCAGAAGCTCTGGGAGGAAAAGTGAAAAGTAACACTCTGGCACATAATTGAAGGGCTTGAGAGCCATGGTGAGCACCCCTGCCATTAGATTTTAAAGTCATAGGAACCATCTTATTACATTTATGACTCCTCACATTTTTCAGATGAATACTTTTCCTCTCAAGGGATGACAAGGGATCAAAAAGAGGCAGAGGAGACAAAGAATGAAAAGCAATGCGGATCATGGGATTCATGTGAAAACATAGAATAGGCATCTCAGCAAAAGCATGTTAGGATTCACTGAAAGAATCTGGGAAATAGCCATTTCCTAAATCCCAGTCTGTATTTCTATAATGTGTAGGAATCATTCTCCCATAAAAACTTACAGGAGTATAATTT